TCGAACTCAGGGCCTCATGTATGCAAGGCAAGCACTCTACCACTGAGCCACCTTCCCAGCCCCTCATCAGTTCTTATAAATGAAGTTTTACTGGGACTGCTACTTGGGCTCTCAGCCTGGCCCCTCCCTTCCGTGTTGGATCCTGAGCACATTCTCTTGCTTTCACTTACCCTCTGCTTCCTTGTCTATAAAACAGAGATAACAGTAAAGCCTGGGGCATAGTCCCTATTAACATTAAATGTCAGCTAGAGTCATTACTACTGTACTTTCAGGTTTGGGAAAGGGAGTGCTAGCCATCAAATCCAGTGTCTTACAAATGTTAGGAAAGTGCTCCACTGTTGAGCTTCAGCCCCCTGCACAGACTCAACCTGCCCCACTCTGGGTACAGGACTGTCTGATGCTAGGGAAGTGCTGTATCCATAGCCACAGCCCTTTCCTTTGGTTTGTGCCAGTACTGGGGCTTGAACTCAAGGCCTCATGCTCTTGTTCTGCTTTTTGTTTTTGAAGCTGGTGCTCTACCATTTGAGCCATACCTCCACTTCCTGGGGTTTTGTTGCTGTTGTTCTGGTTAACTGAAGATAAAAAGTCTCACAGACTTTCCTGCCTATGGTGGCTTCACACATTGATCCCTCCATATCAGCCTCCTGAGTAGCTAACATTTAGACCTAAGCCACCAGCACCAGGCCACAGATGTGTGTGTGTGTGTGTGTGTGTGTGTGTGTGTGTGTGTGTCTGTCTGTCTGTCTGTCTGTCTGTCTGTCTGTCTGTCTGTCTTGCGCATGCATGCACTCATGTGTATGCTGGGCCTGAGGCTTGAACTTAGCAGCTGGGCACTATCCTTGAACTTTTTTGTTCAAGGCTGGGCTCTCTACCACTTGAACCACAACCCTACTTCCAGCTTTTTGATGGTTAAATGGACTTTCTTTCCCAGGCTGGCTTTGAGCCTTAATCCTCAGATCACAGGCTAGTCTCTTTTTTTTTGGGGGGGGGGTCCGGTCATGGGGCCTGAACTCTGGGCCTGGGCACTGTCCCTCAGCTCTTGGCTAGCACTCTACCACTTGAGCCACAGCGCCACTGCCGGCTTTTTTCTTTTTGCTTATGTGGTGCTGAGGAATCGAACCCAGGGCTTCATGCATGCAAGGCAAGCGCTCTACCACTGAGCCACCTTCCCAGCCCCACAGTCCAGTCTCTTAAGTAGCTAAGATTATAGGCATAAGCCACCAGCACCAACCATAGATTTTTTTTTAATAAAAGTAAACATTGCAGTAGATAACCTTGTTTATCCCTACATGTACTAAGAATTAATGGGCATCAGAGACTATTGTAAGCATTTGACATTTATTCACTCATTTAATCCTCCCAACAATTTCTTAAGATATTAGCTACAAGCTACTGGGCATTATCACTTTACAATTAAGAAGACTGAGACATAAAGATGTTACATCAGGGGCTGGGAATGTGGCTTACTGGTAGAGTGCTTGCCTAGCATGCATGAAGCCCTGGGTTCCATTCCAGTACCACTTACACAGAAAAAACGGGAAGTGGTGCTGTGGCTCAAGTGGTAAAATACTAGCCTTGAGCAAAAGAAGCTCAGGAACAGTGCCTAGGCTCTGAGTTCAAGCCCCAGGACTGGCATAAAAAAAAAGTTATATCACTAGCAATAATCACATATCCAGTAAGTAGTGAAGCCTGAATTCAAATCCAGTCTGGCTTCAGAATCTGAGTTGCCTTTTTGTTTTTGTTTTTTTTGGGGGGAGGGGTTGTAGTTGATTGGAATGTTTTGTTTTGTTGGAGGTTTTTGGTTGGTTTGGTTTTTTTTTTTTTTTTTTTTGGGTCCGGTCATGGGGCCTGAACTCTGGGCCTGGGTGCTGTCCCTCAGCTCTTCAGCTCAAGGCTAGCGCTCTACCACTTGAGCCACAGCGCCACTTCCGGCTTTTTTTCTTTTTGTATATGTGGTGCTGAGGAATTGAACCCAGGGCCTCTGGCTTGCAAGGCAAGCGCTCTACCACTGAGCCACCTTCCCAGCCCCGGTTGGTTTGGTTTTGACAGAATCAAGGCTTGAATTCAAGGGGTCTTACACTCACTAGGTTTGCTTATACACAACTGGTACTCTACTCCTGGAGCAATACCCCTAGGCCAACTTTTTGCTAGTTAATTGGCAGTGGGGTCTCTCAGACTTTTCTGCCCTGGATGGCTTAAAACCACAATCTTCCAGGTCTCAGCCTTATGAGTAGCTAAGATTATAGGTGTGAGCCACTGGTTCCCCAACAAAGCTGAACACTTTTTTTTTTTCCAGTACTGGAGTTTAGACTCAGGCCCTTAGGCTTACTAGGCAGGCGCTCTACTGCTTGAGCCAGGCCCCCAACTTGGGTCCTTCCACTGGGATTTTACACGTGTCTCCTCCCAAGGAAACTGTCCGGACATAGCACCACACGCTGACAACCACGGTCCTTGCTTATTCCTTCCACTGAGAGCTCATCTCTCTTGGTGAACTGCTGACAGCTCACCACACTGCAGATCACCATCAGCCACACACCACCCACACCCTCTGTGACCGGGACCACTCGATGGTCCAGTTCCTCAAGGAACACCAGGGCTTGGTAGGCCCTTACTCAAAATCTCTTCCTTGAAATTGTTCTAAAAGTACAACCCTGCCAGGTGCAGGTGGCTCACACCCGTCACCCTAGCTACTTAGGAGGCTGAGATCTGAGGATCATGTTTGTTTGTTTGTTTGCTTGTTTATGGTCGGACATGGGCCCTGAACTCGGCCTGGGTACTGTCCCTCAGCTCTTCAGCTCAAGGCTAGAGCTCAACCTGAGGATCATGGTTCAAAGCCAGCCTGGGCATGAAAGTCCATGAGACTCTTATCTCTAATTAAACACCAAAAAGCTGGAAGTGGAGCTGTGGCTCAGATGGTAAGCGCACTAGCCTGAGGGGACTCAGAGACAGCTCCTGGGCTCCAAGTTCAAAACAAAACAAAAATCAGCCTTGAGGAGCTGGGGATATAGCTTCACGGTAGAGTGCTTGTCTAGCATACATGAAGCCCTGGGTTCGATTCCTCAGTATCACATAAATAGAAAAAGCCAGAAGTGGTGCCATGGCTCAAGTGATAGAGTACTAGCCTTGAGCCAAAGAAGCTTGGGGACAATGCCCAGGCCCTGAGTTCAAGCCCCAGGTCTGGCAAAAAAAGAAAAGAAAAAGAAAACCCTGAAGGCCATACATGTGGGTTAGGAGGACCCCAACCTCTACAGTGGATGGGTATCTGAAGCCCAGAAAAGGAAGCAACCCCCTAGATCACAAAGCAGCCAGGCCAGGGCTCAGATGGAACGGCACTCTTCACTACGGCTCTGCCTTGGCCTGGCCATGGGACCCTCCGCCCGCTCAGAAGGTTGCTGCCCTGGTTGTTCCTTTCCTGCAGCCTTAGTTTCTGGGCCAGATGCCAGATCCCAGAAAAGTCTGGGGGACCTTCCCGTTCCCCTTCTACCCCCTCCTCAGCTGGGACAAAGCTGGGAGAGAGATAGAGGGCCACCCACGTCCCATCTGGGGCCAACCCCTCCCACACACTTAGCTTAGGAGCTGAGGCCTTCATCCCTGTTGCCTGCTTCTCCTTCAGCTTGCACCGCCAAGCGGATGAGGGCTCAGCACGACCTCCCCGCTCCCCCCCTCCAGCCCCCCCCCACCCGCTGCTGCCAGAGAAAAGTTCCTGTAGACACACACAGAAAGAAGGTGCAGGTGTAAATGTACACACATTCGTTCCCCTCTTCCTTCTCTTCCCTTTATTCTGCAGTTCCGGCTTTTCCTCCCAGCTCTCTCTGTATGGTTTTTATTTTATTTTATTTTTTGCTGGTAATGGGGCTTGAACTCAGGGCCTGGGCACTGTCCCTGAGCCTTTCTGCGCTCAAGGCTAGTGCTCTACCACTTGAACCACAGCACCACTTCTGGCTTTCTCTGTTTATGGGTACTAGAGGAATGAAACCCAGGGTTTCATGTATGTTAGGTAAGCACTACCACTAAACCACAGTCCTGAGGCTTGAACTCAGGGCCTGGACACAGTCCCTGAGCTTCTTTTTACTCAAGGCTAGCACTCTACCATTTGAGCCCAAGGTGCCACTTCAGGCTTTTTCTGTGTATATGGTACTGAGGAATGGATCCCAGGGCTTCATGCATTCTAGGCAAGCACTCTACCACGAAGCCACATCCCCAGCCCATCTCTCTATATTTGATGGAAGAATCTCACTGGATTGAACTCAGAACTCAAGGCCTTGGGCTGTCCCTGAGCTCCTCTCTCTCTCTCTCATAGAGCTTTCCAAGCACAGTATAAGCAAAAACTAAGTTCTGATCCTACTCACCACCTTGTCATGGTATCTAAGGCTTGGAGCTACTACCTCCTCTCATGAAATGAACATAAGAAAGACCCTCCTCCCAGTAATGTACCCCCATTAAATTAGGTGATTCAATTAGGTGCTTTAGCAGTGTGTCTGGCATGTAGCATCTACTCAGTCAGCAAAGGTTTTAATAAGGTTAAGTTAAATTCTTTGGCAATTTGGCAGGACTGTGTAAATACAGTGAGTCTCTAACTGGAAGTGGAGCTGTGGCTCAAGTGGTAGAGTAGTAGCCTGGAGCAAAAAGAAGCTCAAGGTCAGCACTCGGGCCCTGAGTTCAAGCCCCAGGACTGGCACAAAAATAAAATTGAGTCTCCCACTTCCTGCCCAGATGAATTAAGCAAGACGGGACCTAGGAGAAAAGTGAGGCAGAGCGTATGAGTGGTGATGCTGGAATGAGAACTCAGATATAAGGATCTCCAACCTATTCCATGCTGCTAGCAAAGCTCCTGGTGGCTGGCAAAGTGCACTGGAAATGACCTGTGTGTCGGCACCAGAGATAAGGGAGGGTGATGGTGTCTGCCCTGAGACTCTGACAGGGCTGAAGGGCTGTACTTGCACTCGGGTCTACCAGAGGTGCCCAGTGGCTCAATGGAAGTTCATGTGCTCTGTGTGCAGGTGAAGCCCCTTCTCTGAGGAAACGCTCACTGTGACTGGAGGAAGGGGCTCTGGCTCTCATCCCACCCAGCCATCATGAACACCTCAGCGCCCCCTGCCGTCAGCCCCAACATCACCGTCCTGGCACCGGGAAAAGGTCCCTGGCAAGTAGCCTTTATTGGGATCACCACGGGCCTCCTGTCTTTGGCCACAGTGACAGGCAACCTGCTGGTTCTCATCTCCTTCAAGGTCAACACCGAGCTCAAGACGGTCAATAATTACTTCCTGCTCAGCCTGGCCTGCGCAGACCTCATCATTGGCACCTTCTCCATGAACCTCTACACCACATACCTGCTCATGGGCCACTGGGCCCTGGGCACACTGGCCTGTGACCTCTGGCTGGCCTTGGACTATGTGGCCAGCAATGCCTCCGTCATGAATCTGCTGCTCATCAGCTTTGATCGCTATTTCTCGGTGACCCGGCCTTTGAGCTACCGTGCCAAGCGCACCCCTCGCCGGGCAGCTCTGATGATCAGCCTGGCCTGGCTGGTTTCCTTTGTCCTCTGGGCCCCGGCTATCCTCTTCTGGCAGTACCTGGTAGGGAAGCGGACAGTACTGGCCGGGGAGTGCTACATCCAGTTTCTCTCCCAACCCATCATCACCTTCGGCACAGCCATGGCCGCCTTCTACCTCCCCGTCACAGTCATGTGCACGCTCTACTGGCGCATTTACCGGGAGACGGAGAACCGGGCCCGGGAGCTGGCGGCCCTGCAGGGCTCTGAGACCCCAGGCAAAGGGGGTGGCAGCAGCAGCAGCTCCGAGAGATCTCAGCCAGGGGCAGAGGGCTCCCCAGACACCCCTCCGGGCCGCTGCTGTCCATGCTGCCGGACCCCCAGGCTGCTGCAGGCCTACAGCTGGAAAGAGGAAGAGGAAGAGGACGAAGGCTCCATGGAGTCCCTCACCTCCTCCGAGGGAGAGGAGCCTGGCTCCGAAGTAGTGATCAAGATGCCCATGGTGGACCCTGAAGCCCAGGCTCCCACCAAACAGCCCCCCAAGACCTCCCCGAATACAGTCAAGAGGCCCACCCGGAAAGGGAGGGATCGATCGGGCAAAAGCCAGAAGCCCCGTGGGAAGGAGCAGCTGAGCAAGCGGAAGACTTTCTCCCTGGTCAAGGAGAAGAAGGCGGCTCGGACCCTGAGTGCCATCCTGCTGGCCTTCATCCTCACCTGGACACCCTACAACATCATGGTGCTGGTGTCCACGTTCTGCAAGGACTGCGTCCCCGAGACCCTGTGGGAGCTGGGCTACTGGCTGTGCTACGTCAACAGCACCATCAACCCCATGTGCTACGCACTCTGTAACAAAGCCTTCCGGGACACCTTCCGCCTGCTGCTGCTCTGCCGCTGGGACAAGCGACGCTGGCGCAAGATCCCCAAACGCCCCGGCTCTGTGCACCGCACCCCCTCCCGCCAATGCTGATGGGGAGCGGGGAGAGAGGGAGATCCACCCACCACCACTCTCCTGGCATCCTTCCACCCCAGCCCCAGGGAGAGGCCAGTGGCAAGTGGGCAGGTGGCGGTGTCCTCAGACCCAGGGCCCCTGCTCAGGTCCCACCCAGCTCCCCTGCTTCCCCTGGGGCACCTTCCTGGGACAGACCTGCCAACTTGTCAGAACTTTGCTGTATTCCCAGGCAGGGAGTGTGACCCGGGGAACTGGCTTTTTTTTCCTGTTCCCTGTGGTGTGGGAGTAGACTCTTCACCAGGAAGAAGGCCTGGGAGGAGGATCCGGGCTTTGCACTCCTTGTTTGCTGTTTGAGTTTAGGCAGGAAGTCAGGAGCCAGCAAGACGGGCCAGGAGTTTAAAGCCACAATCTTCCTTGGCCCAGCAGGGAGCCCGGAGTGCAAGGAGAGAGGCTGCCCCTCATCAAGGGCTCCAGTGGGGTACTGACACCCATCACCAAGAAAGAAAAGAGCTAGGGGATCCCTTGCTGGAGACTCTCCCCACCCCCCGCAAAGGCTCTACATGTCCAGCGAGGACCTAGACACCTGCTCCAGAAGTGTCCAGCTCCCCCCTTACAAATGTCCCCCAGAACACTTCCAAAGCAATTGACTGTACATCAACCAGAGAAAGGTACCAAACCCGGTCAACTTAGCTGGTTGCACATCAAGTCCCAAAGCAAGGCAGCAGCAGGACCAGACACCAGGTGTCCTAACTGTCATTTCCCTGGGGGGACGGGGGAGTGAAAGGGGTGCCTGCTATCTAGTTCCACACCCATCCACCCTTCTCCCTCTCCTCCAGAATAACCTCAGCCCTCCCTTCTGGCTCACAGCCCTCACCTGGATGGATCTGCTCTGTGCAGATCTAGTCAGGGCCTCCCGCATGCTGCCTGCCTCCAGCCCTGCCCCCACACAGGCCTGGCCCAGCCAGCAGCTTCTCCCCCTGTGAGCTCCCCCTCGTCCATCCTCTGCATGGCCTCCTAGCCACCCTGCACTCCCGGCCCAGCCTCGCCCCAAATGTTCTTTCCTTCCATCCTCAGCGTGTGCTGAGTCTGTGAATAAACCACATAACCAGCAGGCACTAAGCAACCTTCCTCCCTGTGTTGGCTCAAGGCCTTGACTTCAAGGCCAGGACAGGATCCGGCAGGGAGGGCCCAAGTATTGTGGAATGTGGGCTGCTGCCCTGAGGTGGTTCCTAGAGAAGGAACACGGAACGGCTAAGATCTACCAAAACCTGTGCGATCCAGAATCCCAGGGTCCCTGGCTCAGGTGAGGAGGCTGCACCAGGGACACCTGGCCTCTGGAAAGCGGGCAGCCAGGTGAAATGAACTGCTCAGGCTCGGGTCCCTGCATACTCTCTGATGGTGCTGCCAGAAGTGGTTTCTCTGGGGCCTTGTCATAGAGGAAACAGCTGGGTACTCGTAGTGCACGCCTATAACCCTACTTACTCAAGAGACTGAGATCTGAGGATTGTGGTTCGGGGCCAACCTGGGCAGAAAAGTCAGCTGATGCTCTTATCTCCAGTTAACCAGCAAAGAGCCGGAAGTAGAGCTGTGGTTCAGGTGGTAGGGCATCAGCCTTGAGTGAAAAAACCATGCAAGGTAGCAAGTTTCCGAGTTCAAGCCCCAGACCCAGCAGTGGGGCAAGGGGAGGGGCCAGGAAGGGAAGAAGATGAGGAGAGTGAGGCCCACAGACTAAGAAGAATTGTTCAGACCTAACCCCACCAAACAACACCTCGGGCTTCCAGCCTGTTCGCAGCTTCCTGACCCCTAGTCTATGAAGACAACAGGCCTGGGGTACCCTAGGCCAAAGTGCTCCCTCAGTGGGTCCCCTTGGGTTATATTACAGGAGCTTCATTGGTGAGAGGCCCCCAAGGCCTGATAGAAAGGAATCTAGAGAAGTTAATCACACAGCCTAGAGCAGGGGCTTATTAAAGTAGTAAGTCAATGGATGGGGGTGGGGAGGGTATCCCCAAGATTACCCTTAAGCTGCTAAAGGAAAACACAGAACTCAGCAAAAAGTTACAGTTACAGTTAATTAGAGTGAAGGAACTCAGAGCAAAAGAGCAACGGGAGAAAAGCGCACAGGGCAGAGTCCAGGAGAGAGCAAGGGGAAGCTGCCTCTGCCCTGTCCACCTGGAGCCACTTAGGCAGGGCTCCCTTCTCGGCAATGAGGTGTGATAAACAAACACAGGATGTAATAAACACAGGATGTGCCTGCAGCCAGGAAAGCGCACCCAGCCTCTGTGCCCAAGGTTAAGAACAGTAGAGGAAAGCCAGGTGTGGTGGCTCAAGCCTGTAATCCTAGCTACCCAAGAGGTTGAGACCAAAAAAAAAGAATACTAGAGATTTTCCAGATTACCTCTGGTCTCCAGCAACCTCCAAAGCTTAAAGGAACATAGTACAACCCAAGCCTTCCCCTAGGAATCATATTTTTTAGCATAGATGACCTGATGTGCTCCAAGATGCACAGTAAGCGAAGGCCGTCTTTCCAGGCAGGTGATCCTGGCATTATCAGTCTGCTGGCCAGATAAGGCCCAACTCTTCTTTGAAATATTCAGGGCTTGAACAACTGAGAGCTGCTGAGTGAACAGTAGGCCAGCTCAGCAGGACTGCTGTCATCTGAAAGCCTGTTAATCAGGTAAAATCTTGGTGTCATCCTTGATTGACTAATATGGAAACCAGTCATCCATTTTTATTTTTGTCTTTTGTTGTTGTTGGTTTTAGATGCAAATCCACGTGATCATCAAGCAGGTGCTCTACCACTAGAGCCACACCCCCAAGCCCTTTTTGCTTTTTTTTTTTTGCAGTCCTGGAGCTTCAACTCAGAGCCTAGACATTGTCCCTGAGCTTCTTTTTTTCAAGGCTGGTACTCTACCACTTGAGCCACAGCACCACTAGTGACTTTTTCTGTTTATGTGGTAATGAGGAATGGAACCCGGGGCTTCGTGCATGCTGGGCAAACACGCTACCACAAAGCCACATTGCCAGCCCTTTAGTTAATTTTCTTTTTTTTTGGGGGGGGGGTCCAGTCATGGTGCCTGAACTCTGGGCCTGGGTACTGTCCCTCAGCTCTTCAGCTCAAGGCTAGCGCTCTACCACTTGAGCCACAGCACCACTTCCGGCTTTTTCTTGCTTATGTGGTGCTGAGGAATCGAATCCAGGGCCTCATGCATGCAAGGCAAGTGCTCTACCACTGAGCCACCTTCCCAGCCCCCTTCAGTTAATTTACAAGTAGAGACTTGCCTTTTGGGTCTTGTTGTTCTTGTTCTTGTTCTTGTTGTTTGTTTTTTGGTTTTGGGGTTTTTTTTTGTATGCCAGTCCTGGGACTTCAATTCAGAGCCTGGGTACTTATCCCTGAGCGTTTGTGCTCAAGATTAGCATTCTACCACTTAAGCCACGGCTCCACCTCCCATTTCTTGGTGGTTAATTGGAGATAAGAGTCTCCTCACAGACTTTCCTGCCTGGGCTGGCTTTGAACCCTGATCCTCAGATTTCAGCCTCCTGAGTAGCTAGGATTACATGCATGAGCCATCAGCACCCAGCTTGTGTCTTGTGTTTTTGCCCAGAGTTGGATTCTCCCTATCTATGGTCACCAGCATAGCTAGGAATCCACCCTGCTTATTGATTGAGACAAGGTCTTACTAATAGCTGGGAATATAGGGATAAGCTGCCACACTTGGCCTCAACCTTATCTTTTAATAGTCATACTCCAGGTGATTCTAATGTCAGATAAAGTTTGAGAAAAACCTACCTTAGAGGGTTGAGATCCTGGGTGGGACTTAACCCTTTCAGGAAGAGTGGTAATGATTCACCCCACACACAGCTGTCAAGATTCCCAGAAGCCTTTGCAAAGGATTCTTCCAACACTACAGGCAAGGGAAGTCAATTGAAGAGGTGGACAGGAGAGACTAGCCAGAGGCAGCAGGAAGTGGTTCAAAGACAAACCCTGTTCCTGTCCCCTCCCCCTCCCCTAGCGCAACTCCCTAGATCACCAGCACAGCACTTCCAGAGGGCCCCTCCCTTCCTCCTGCGCCTTCATGGTCCTGAGCCCCCTTTAGGGATGAATGCTCTGCCCAGAATCAAAGGGAGCAGAACTGAGGTCCTGGGAAGCAGAGAGCCTGAGGGAGCTGAGCAGCATCGGGAGAATGGAAGCTAGAGCATCAAGTGGCTTGATCTCTCCTGAAGACTAGCAGTGGAGGGATCCAAGCTGGTACTGGCATCAGGAAAGGGGCTAGCAGCTCACACTTGTCCTGAGGACTTCTCATAACGAGGTGCCCACCCTATCCCACACCCAGCAACCTTAGGCCCATCTCCTAGCCTCTGAAAGAGGAATGGTCCCTTGCTGAAGAGCCAGGAGGATGACATGGACTGCAGGGGGGAGGTATTTGGCGGCTCTCTGGTATCACCACAGGTATGGACCAGGCCCAGCTCTTTCCTCCATCCTGGCTTTGGAAAGAAACTTGAATCCTGACATGACTTACCTAAAGGAATATCAGGGAACACTGCCCTGGACAGGAGAGGGTACACACAGAGGCTTCCAAGAATTGGGGTCTATGCCCTGAAGGCCTCTGAAGTAGGATTTCTACAGACCCAGAGGCCAGAGAATGGAGGAAATGACGAGCGCTGAAAGGGAGTTGGGCTGCGCGGGCATGCTTCCACTCCAAACACAGCATTCACCCCTGCCTCAAGGGAGTCTTTCTTTGCCCCAGAAACAAAGGCCTTTTAGTCCCTGAACAGGAAATAGAGAGAAAGATGTGAGTGTCAACCCCCTTCCTGTTACTACCACCTGGTTGGAACAGGCCTGGGAGATGGGGACCCCTAAGGAGCTGCTCACCTCCTTCACCCCTAACTCAGCCTCTGCTTCTACTCCCATCATGTCACTTTAGCGCCACCTGCTGACAACTAATGGTATAATCTTGCCAAGAAACCTAATGCTGGCTGGGTCTTCTGTGGGCCTGCTTCCCAAGGCAACTGGACAAGAGAAA